AAACAACCCATCATCACTAACTACAAAGTCTACATGCTTACCTCTACCATCTCTCCTTTAATATGCTCACACTGTAGGTCCATCTCCTGAGCTAAACGAATCCGTTCTTTTAAAGTCGACTAAACTGTCAACTAACTACAATAAGCCCTATCACCAGGCGTAACAACCTCAAGCCTCAAACGTCTCATGTCTTCCACCAAACAACTCTCAATAAACAAAGCAGTTTACATCTCCAACTACGACCTTCCTACTTAAGGCATCTGCTACCATATTTGCCTTTCTCAAATGATACAAAATGTTCACATCACAATCTTTTAGCAACTCAAGCCATCTTCTTTGCCTCAAATTTTGCTCATTCTGTGTGAAAATATACTTCAATTCTTATGATTAGTGTAAATATCATATGCTTCTCCATATAAATAATGTCGCCAGATCTTAAGAGTAAAAATCATTGTTGTCAACTCCAAGTCGTGCGTAGGATAATTTCTCTCATGTACTTTCAGTTGTCGCGACGCATAAGCAATCACCTTCCCATGCTGCATAAGTACACACCCTAAACCTTGTCGTGAAGCATCACTATAAATCATAAAATCACCTCTATCTGTTGATAAGGCAAGGATTGGAGTTAATGTCAATCTTTGTTTAAACTCTTGGAAACTACGCTCACAATCATCATTCCACTCAAACTTTACTCCTTTCTTGGTGAGATTGGTAAGTGATAAAGAATACGGGGAATCCTTCCACAAATCGTCTGTAATATCCAATAAGCCCTAGAAAGCTGCGTACCTTTGTCATCGAAGTAGGTCGTGGCCAATCAACAATTGTTGCCACCTTCGTGCTATCCACAAATACCCCATCTTTACTCGCTACATAACCCAAAAAGGATATATTGCTCAACTAAAATTCACATTTCGTAGATTTTGTATGCAATCTTTTCTGCTTGAGGATTTGAAATACTACCCTTAAATACTACTCATGCTCCTTCTTATTCCTCAAGTAGGATGTCATTAATAAACACCACCACAAAATTGTCCAGCTGGGGTTTAAATAATTTGTTCATCAAATCCATAAATGCGGCTGGTGCATTTGTGAGACAAAAGGCATCACCAAAAACTTATAATGCCCATAACGAGTTTTAAAAACTGTCTTAAGAACATCCTCATCCTTCACTTTTAACTGGTGATAGCCTAACATCAAGTCAATCTTAGAGAATACCTGAGCTCCCTGTAATTGGTCAAATAGATCATCAATGCGTAGCAAAGGATACCTATTCTTCACTGTGAGTTTGTTCAGTTCCCTATAGTCAATGCACAACCTCATAGACCAATCATTCTTCTTTACAAACAACATAGGTGCTCCCTAAGGTGAGACGCAAGGCCTAATAAAACCTTTTTCTTGCAACTCCTGTAACTGAGTTTGTAACTCCCTTAACTCCAACGATGCCATTCTATAGGGTGCTTTAGAGATAGTGCTGTGTTGGGGACCAAGTTAATGGAAAATTCTACCTCACGGTTTGGAGGAAGACCAGGTAGATCCTCTGGAAAAACATCAACAAATTCCCTCACCACAGGTTACTCCTTTAACTTTTGCTCGGGTTGCTTGGTACTCACCACACAAGCTAAGTAACCACGACACCCTTTCCTCAAAATTCGATTAGCTTGAAGGGAAGAGATAAAACAGATAGAAGACCCTTTTCCTAAACTGATGTTGTCCTAGCATAGTAAAAACTATCCTCTTTCTAAAATAATCAACAGAGGCATTATGTTTCGTTAACCAATCCATCCCCAAAATCACGTCAAAATCCTTCATCTCTAAGGAAATCAAATCCACTGGAAAATTCCTACCATCCATGTCTATCTCACAAGACCTACAAACATCTCCCAATACTACAGTTCTCCTAGTAGACACGGTAATACAAACATCCAAAGGCTCACAAGGAATGTACAATCCGTGTAGATATCTATGTACCAACTCCTAACCTTCAAAATGAAATCAAGAAAGACTCAACACAAATTTAAACAAAACTAACTTAACCACATACTCATAAGGACTCTAGGGACTTGAATCTCATCTAAATGATAAAATGCAAGACATGTAATTCGATAAACCTACAACTTTGATACCACAATTGTCACACCTCAAACCTGAGCATGACCGACCGTGGGCCTTAGCCCAAGGCACACGCAAGCCTAAACACGAATCGATAATCACATAAAATAAATGTAACAATAGTCTAGAAATAAATAAATTAAAACTCAATCCAGTGACATGTCACAAGTATAAACAGGCAAAACCATCCCTAATCAATACCATCCAAACAAATGGGACACAAACAGGCCACATAACAAAATAGTACTGAATAAATCTCAATCAAAAAGCATGCACAAAATTAGTGTAACAATATGAAAAACAAACATATATAAAAAAAAAAAAATGAATGTCCTAGAGATCCATGCAATTGAGTCTCCGCTACGCCATGAGTCCACTATAAATCCTTCTATCACCTGGAAATGTTTAACAACTAAGTCCGTTGATAGTTCAATGAGTAGAAGCATGGATAGTAAAATACAGTTTCGAAAACAGGGTTCAATTCCAAAATAAGCCTGTACATAATAGAAACTAGATTGACATACAGTTTTAATAAAGACAATATGATTAAAAAAAATAAGGTTCCACAGTTTATCAATTAAAATATTCATGTCTCTCAAAAACATAACAAGGGACATTCTCCACTAAAAATAGACAACATAATCATCATCATTATTTGGGTACCAAGAATAATAAGTAACATGCCATAAAGTTCTCAAGGCAATAAGCCCATTGGATCTTATATCGAACCAAGAGTCATCCTCGGGGTGGCAACCTAGACCATTTCTCTAAGACGATCTGATTGAAGGTCACCTAGTCTAGCCTAGGTGTTTTCCTTACAAATGTTGAGCACTAAAGTCATTACAGTCCAACCTGAATCTGTTCCCTAGTGGCCAAAGTTACCACACACAGTGGAATAAATTCCCTAGACTTTTTTTTATATATAGATGATCCCAATAATCAATACAATTCAGTTTCACAAAATATAATAATTTACCATTTTAAACATGAAACCATAACAAATAGTTTACAGTATGCTAAGTTTACACATGTTTTAGAAATATCTCAATTCCAATAATATAATAATAATTTAACCAAGGTTGTTTGGTCACAAAACAACAATTTACTTTTCAAATAGTTTCAGGGAAAGTGAACATTTATAAAAATACGTAACATGCAACTACTCACCTGAAAACGAAATAATATATCCTGGAATAGAGTATGAAAGTCCAACTAGTGCCCTGAACCAATTATGAAAGCTACACGTCACTATTAATTCAAAAATACTAAAATGAATAATAAACTAAGTAACCCCAAACTAAAGTGCACTAACATGGCTCAATCCAACTCTCTGCTGCTCTTTGTTCTTCAAGATCTCAACTTACCCAAGACATAGGTTCAGATTGAAACTTAATTAAATGTGATTTTGAGATAAAACAGAATTTTAAACAAATTTTCTCAATCTATTCGTTAACTTTGAAAATTAAAAAATCACTCTACGCCGTTCGAAAAATTCCAAAACCCTCCAAATATCAATTAATATATCCTAAGTTTCAAACCTAATTGGTTTTTACTCGATTTGCTTGTAGAAATAATTATTTATAATTAATTATGTCCAAACAGGTTGCTTTCTGCTGCACTTTAAAGAAATTGACTGTTCTCTTAATATACAGTAGAAATGAACGCAAGGCCAAAACTTTAAGAAAACTAGACTCGTAACCGGTTCTAATGACACTAATTTGATAATTTTAGGATTTATACCCAAAGAGAACAACACTTCCGAAGTTACTGTTTTGTACTAGTTTTTCTGGACAGGTTTGAACATATCAGTTTATATAGATTTTGACTCCAAAAAATTATGAGAAAATTCTAGAATGAAATTCAATATGTAATAAAGCTACAGTAAAAATTTCAGTTCCAAATTCATCCATTTTATATGATTTCTTGATTTTTAAAGTTTGTGATTTTGTGCAAAATTGTTGGACAAAGAATTACACCCATTATTTACCCATGAATTTAGCTCCTCAAATTTCTTAACAGTATATATATACAAAATACATACATCCTACAACCGGTCCATCAATGAATTAAATAATAAAATAGAATAAGGATAAAGTACAAAAGCAAAAAGTAGAAGAAAGCTAGAGACCTACCACATACCCAAAAATTATTCCTTTGTTGCAACTTTTTTTTATTCTCTTTTCTCTCATCCTCTCTCTCCTGTGGTGGCTGCTGTTGCTATATATTGTTAGGAACACTAGGGTTCTTTTATGTATCTAAACAAAAGGTTCTAAATTATTATCTTTTTATATTATTTTATTTTCCCTCTCTACTAATTTAAATAAAATATAATTATTATTAGATCAAAATATACTTATTAATTTGTCTTCTTTTTATATAATAAATCTTGCCTCTAAACTAAAGACTTTCATCATAAATTTATTTTAGATTTAAAATTAATTAAAAAAACCCTCCAAATATTTAATTTACACTTTAAAATTCACCATCAAAATATTTGAGATTGTAAAATTAATCACTGTGTTTGGTTTGAGTTTTCTGGATTAAGTTTTTTAAAAACTGAGTTTTTTGATTTTCGTATTTTTTTGTTTTTAGTGAATATTTTTAAAATTTTAAACATTTTTTTTACTTTTTTAGATGCATCTTACTTAGATATGTCTAAAAAGTAAAAAAAAAATGTGAAAAAATATTTTAAAAAATTAAGAGATACATAAAAATACAAAAAATGTACTAAATTCTTGTATTTTTTTATATTTTTGGTATTTAGTGAATTTTTAAAAGATTTTTTTTATAATTTTTTTACTTTTTAAGTGTATTTATGTTAGGTGTGTCTAAAAAGTAAAAAAATTGCATAAAATATTTTAAAAATTTAGTAAAAACAAAAAAATACGAAAAATAAAAGTTTAGAACTTTTTGAAAACTGTTTTTAAAAAATGAGAACCAAGCAAAGTGAATATTACTTTTATTATTTATTTATTTATCTATATTTTTTTAATTGGGTTCTCACATAAGTGGACAGTGTTGCAGTCTTGTCTGGATCAGAATTGGCTGTGATCTCTTCATTGATCTCCTTCAGAGTTTTCTCAACGCTTAGGGCGGCCGCTATCTTCTCGGTCTGCTTTGTTCCAGAGAAAGTGCTCTTACTGACCTCCTCATCATCCCTAGTGAGACTGAGGACTTGATCATCGAGTGTAGTAGACTTGGCTCTAGCAGCAACTTGTTCCTCTTTTTCCTCTCTTTCCTTTGAGTTCGATATCTTCTCAGATTGGACTGGGGAAGAAGGGAAAGGCAGTTTTAGCTTGGTGAGATCTTTGTGCGGCGAGCCCTCGAGGATAGATAAGGCAATGAGGGCAACAGTCCATCCGAGGCAGTAACCTCTATTGCAGGCAATGTTGACCTGCCTTTTGTAGCCATCCTTCACGTCGGCCTTGCCTTCCTCGTAGGCCTTGGCGTCAGCTTCTTTGAGCTCTTGTTCTTTGGTGGCCAGGGCTTCGGCCAGCTTTTTCCCGGCGAGGGCAGCTCTCTCTTCTACAGCCTTAGATGCGGCCTCAGCTTTCTGTTCAGCAGTGTTCGCAGCCTTGATCTTGTTTATTTGTTTCTATCTCAGGGCCTCGGGCTGGTTCAGTTTGTGAATGTAGTCCGTTGCCTCTTGGGTCTTTTTGGTCAAGTCCTTCTTCATCATCTCGGCCTTGAGTGTGGAGGAGTGAGCATGTTGAATGGATTACAAAGAGAGAGAATTAAGTTAGCAAATAAAGATTCCAAGTATTGAATGTTGTACAGAGTAGTGAAGGAGATCTTACCAGAACAGAGTGAAGCATCATGAGGGCGAAGTGCTCATACTCGTTGCACTCGCTAATGGTATCCATGTCAGTTGGGAGTAGTAAGCCCGTGGTGAGAGCATGAACGACCTCGGGGTCCTTGGAGGTGTTGTTCCTAACTTTCAGTAGTCGATCACCTACTTGGATCTTGGGAAACCAGGTGTTGTCAGTGGTGATGTCCCTCGTTCTGCCAGGTCCAACCGATTTTGGGCGTTTGTTGCTTGGCCTCTCGGTTGATTCTGAAGCTGGTCTCTTCTCAGTGGCAGCCATCTTGGAGATAGGGATGCTGTCTTCTGGATCTTTCTCATCAAAGGATGGAGTGGACATTTGTTTGGCTTTGGTTTTGGCCTTTTTGACTCTCTTTTGTTTTTTGATTGAGGGGGGAGGGGAGATGGGGTGGAGTCTCATTGACTAAATGGTAAGTTGAGTCTTATTGACTAAGTAAGTATAGTCTAATGAAATAATAAGCTAAAAAGTAATGAAATAGTAAGTGGTGTCTTTTTTAGTGGTAGGAAATGAAGTTTAAAAAAGTAATAAGTGAAGTCTCATTAACTAGTAAGAATGGTTTAATGAAATGGTAAACCAATAGTAATTAAATAGTAAGTAGAATTTATTTAAGTAGTAATTAGTGAGGTTTATTTTAGTGGTAAATCAATTCTAATGAAGTTAGTGAGGTTCATTTGAGTGGTAGTCAAGTCTAATGTTTTACCCAAAAAAAGAAGAAGAAAGAAAGTCAAGTCTAATGAAGTGGTAGTAAGTATGTAATGCCCTCAAAATAATAACATTAAACCCATCAACATAGACATGAATTTGTAATAAAGATAAACATTCTTCTATTCAGCAGAGTAGTTTCTTACAAAAGTATTACATGTTAACAACAAAAGCAAATGCCCTACGGGCTTACAGCTTTCCAAGTTAACACTTGGTTACAATAAAAGAGTGCTAACTCATTTACACATTAAGCCCTTGGCTTGAATATACATGTAATACATCAAAGAAATAAAACTTAAGAGATACATAAAAATACAAAAAATGTACTAAATTCTTGTATTTTTTTATATTTTTGGTATTTAGTGAATTTTTAAAAGATTTTTTTTATAATTTTTTTACGATCTAGCAGACAAATAACAACCGCAATCATTCAACAACTAACACGCCAAAGTAAGTTATTTCTAAAACAGAAAAATACAATTTCACAAACTCAGGATATATATAAGATCAACATTGTCGAACTAGGTGAGTAGATCGATAAATATATCAGAACTGACACCCTGTTAACCCTTCCCTTTCCAATTTCACATATTCTCAATTCAATTCCTCATTCACTACATCCACTTATATTATACAAAGTATAATCTATCATGTACCATTCGAGAGAGGATTTAGAGAGCAATTTTCCATTAAATTCACACTTCAACAACCCTTAGGTTCCATTTTCATTAATATTCTTATAGATTTTATCGTTCAATTTCACTTTCTTTTTTCTCAATGCCGAAAAACAAATTGGTCGATAATCAGGACTTTATATCAACAAACAAGCAGACTAAAACCCACATTGTTCAAAGTCTTTTTTAATAATTTTAGCCAACACAAAAGCCCCTAAGTCTTTCAGCCAAGATATAATTACAACCAACCTCCCAAAACTGCATCAATAATATACAACTAATGTTTAAAGACAAAAACCCTTATAAAGGGAGGCCATGTAGGATTCTCTACCATCCACGTTTCTTGAGCTACACAATTTAGATGAAGATCAAAACATCAAACCTTCAAATTCCGAATTTCGAGAGAATTAAAGATGTAGCCCTCGACGATCATAACACCATACTTTCTGTATGAAAGATGCGCTAAAAGTGAGAAAACAACTCCCTACTAGATCAATCTACGAGGATAGAGGCAACCTTACCGCCGGTTTTAGAGTGAGAAGCTCTAGAAAATGCTGTTTGCGTAAAAGTATAGAACGAGAGAAAGATTTGAAAGCTCACACATCACACACGATCTTGGTAGCTTCTATATCAAATGTAAAAGTCGCCAGAAGCATTTCAAGCCATTGTTCCCCCCTATGGCCGAGGCCAACGCGCGCCACCGCTTGAGCGTCACTAGAACACAAGACTGCTTCTCCAGCTCGTGGTAGCGACTTGACAAGGTTTTGAGTCTAGACCCATCCCCTGTCGGAGTCACCGGCTGCACACTCCCAGCACTTTTTGCGCACGGTCTCAATTGACCTGATGAGAACGGCTTGTTCACCTGCTCGGTAATTGTACCAACTCCGCCGCAGAGCGGGATTAAAGAATCGAAACCCAAGTGTATAGCACTCAATCACGACACCCCGTCTTCTGGAGTCGGCAAACACGCGCCCTGCGCAACGATTTGCGTCGCACAAACTGAGGCTGCATCACGGAAAAATACAAATGGCGGATTGAGTGAACTTCCCTCAGGCATACGAATTGTACGGGGCTTTGAAAAGAAGTTTGATTCCAACTGAGTTCAGAGACTAGTGGAATTAAACAACCCCGCGTCCGACTTATTAAGACGTTGGCCTTAGATTCAAGGTTATGCACATTAATCATGCGTGTCGAACTAGTATATTTGAGCATAGGATTATCCTAGAGCGACCAACCTATAAAACTAAACATTTATTGACTACAGACCAGCTAATATCTCTATAACTCAAGAGTAGACTAAAGTAAGAAATGATGTACACTAATAGACGCGAAGGTAAAAATTCAACGACTATCGTCCAACACGGACATCATGTCCCGGCCAGCATGATCTGATACAAAACAAAGGGTAAAACCATGGGACGCTATACGGAAAACCTCCCCCCTTAAAGAATTTCTCCCGAGAATTAAACCACTAAGTTTTCAAAAGATGCAGAGTTTTTTCTCCATTCTCAACAATATTTTGAGTTGAAAAGCGTAAAAATTCATAAAAAAGACCACATACAATAAATTTAAACAATTTAGAACTATCAACAACCCGACCTCATTAACGCTGTTACAAATCATTCTAACTTTTATTACACAAGAGGCATTTTTCAACACACCAACATCAAAAGTGCATTATCAACATGCATTTAGTGTCCATTATTACAACCATTCCCAAACATGCATTCTTGCGGATCATACACAACGCGCGAGTAAGTACATCAAGTTCCAATAAATCAAAAGTTTATCATTTGGATACATACTCACTAGTTCTAAAACAAATATGCCAACAATATGCAATACAAAATAAACATCCCATATCAAGGTAAGTTCTACCAACATACTTCCATTAACCAAAACACTACCAATGTTTACAACTTAAGACATAATATGCGTAAGTCTGCCTTAAGTCCAACAATATTACCAGAAATCTAAATACAAGATATTACTCCTCGTTATGTAACATCAATGTATGAGGATATTTTCGTCGCTAGGACCTACCAACTCACGATTCCCAAGTGGCCTCTACCAATCTCCGTGAGTATTTTACAAAACCTTTTACCCAAAATAGGACATGGTCTTGTCCAACGCTCAGGATCTTGATCCCGCGCCTAATCCAAGACCCGAACTCGATCACTTCCTCGAAATAGAAGCTGTAAGCACATACACTCTATGCTAACTTCTAAAATGTTCTACGGTTCCGAGATATCTAACATCAGTGGTGCGAAAAGAGATATTCCTGCCATGACGCTTTCGAAGCATACCACATGAAAACACATCATGAACTCCGGACAACTGGGCGGTCACAGAACTAAAGCTAAAACGACATAGATAACAACTTTCGCGTTCAATCCTCTTCAAAGGATTATCTCAAAATCCCATATGAAAGACGACGGATAACTTCCCACTCTTCCCCAAAACCCATCAAACCTCGCCTAAGTGATGATTATTTAAGAAAACATGACACGCTACCATCCAAACGCCAAAGGCACATCCTCTAGGATCGGCATAGATCCAAGAAGATTTCTGCCGATCTGGGAAACTTTAAACAAAGCACTCCAAACGGATAAGTTCAAACTTTCTGCGTCGTGCACTCCGTAACCTTTTAAAATTCCCAACATAAGCACAACACTGGAGCCCAAAAGGTCATCACCACGAGCGCGATCACAGAGGCCAACAAACCGGAGACCTATATACAACGGTCGGGGAATTGACTACCTGAATCCATTTCCAAAAATGGAGAACCACAACCACTCATAACAAGGCCTCAACGGGTGCTCATATTAGGCGCGATATGCCTAGGCTTTACGACAAGCATGAACTAAGTATTTGTTTCCTGTATGGCAAACTCCACCCATGGCAGGTGACCTCGGCCCCACACGTCCCACTAAAATCAAGTGAATCGAGCGAAACCTCGAAGCAATTCCTAGAAGGAATCGTGATAAGACGTAACTCGAACTGCCTCGTACAGTTGTTGATGGATGATAAGGATGTATGCCGTACTAAAGGTCAACTCAGTACTTGCCCAGTCAGCACCCAAGCGTCACGTTCTGCAAATCTCATGAGCCACAGACCTAGCAGTAGAGAATGACGGCACTGGATCTTCTAATCTGAGACCGATCGTCATGAATCACGGGACCCCGTGCAATCTCAACTTATGTCCCGATATAAAAGTCGGCAAGATGATCTACCGAATCTCTCACGCGCATAGGTAATAAAGGCGCCGACTTAAGTCAACCGGTCCTACAACACCCAAATGGCGTCCCTCCACCGCTGGTCTCGGAAGACCTAACAAACGAAGTCCATAGTGAATGCTCCCCTTCACACTCGGCAATAAGCAAGGGTTGCCACAAACCGCTGCCTCTGATGCTCGGTTCACTTGTTGGCAAGTAAGGCACTCGATACGAAAAACAGCTCAGCATCTCTCTTCATAACCCCGCCAACAAAACTGGCGACCCAAATCCCGATACATCTTAGTAGCTCCCGGATGCAGATCCGCAAGACGTGAATGGTGAAAACTCTCGGAGTACTTCCCTCTCGCAAGACTCCGGCATCAAAAACAAACGGTCTTGGTATCTCACCTCAGGTCGGGATAGATAACACCGTAAACCCCTTCCTAACTTTCCCACTGGAGATTTCTTCTCTCGGAAGAGAACTCTAACCTCAAGGTCACCTCTCTGTGCCTCTAACACTCTAGTCACAAGTGTGGGCCTGTGCAACAACAGAAACAAGGCCCGCAGCCTCAACCAGATTCGCCCAGATGCAAGATCCAAAACTCGCCAAGTACTGCCCAACATTCCCCATCCCGGATGCTATACAAGCTAACTCACTAATGGATTTCCACAAGGGATCGCTACAACATTGGCCTTCCTGGGTGATAATGCAACTCAAAAGTCATAGTCCTCAATGGAACTCCATCCATTCTCCTCTGTCTCAAATTCAAGTCTCTTCTGTGTAACAGATACTTCACTCTTGTGTCCGAGAACTTCGACCTCTCACCATAAAGGTAGTGCCTCCAGATTTCAAGCAAAGATACTCTGCTAACTCTAGGTTTCGTGTGTAAGGTAAATTCTTCTCGTGATTTTCATTGACGTGAGCCATTAAAGCTATCACTTTCCCCTCTTAACATCAACACCAACCCAAACCCTCTCGCGAGGCGCACAATATAACCGCATAACCACAACCCTCTCTCCGAATAATCCAACCGGAGCGGTGGGTCAATTCTAACTTTTAATCTCTTGAAAAACGACTTTTTCAACAAGTCTCAACTTCCATAGCAAACTTGACCCCTTTCCGCGTCAATCTAAGTCATCGGCGAAGCTAGCCCTGGAGAACATCTTTCCAAACCGACGGAATATACCTCAGCTAATCCAAAAAACTGCGGAATCTCA